AGAATGTCTTGTCAGTTGGTAAGAAACCTCAGATAGGGTTAAAAATTCTCTAAAATTGCTATATTGTGAAATTTAAGTAAAGAGCCAAGGCAAAAATTATGGCACTTTATCAAAATGTAATGCATGATACTGGATGAATTCCAAAAGTTAGGGTGATGAAAGTACAAATAGAGAAAGAATTCCTTTTTTTACTGAAAATGTTGATGTTTGAGTAGAAGAATGGAAATTACCTCACATTTGACCTTTTACCCTGATTGTATAAAAAAGGCTCCAGAAGATAGAAAGTGATCCTAAATATTCTATTTCACAAGTACACAGTGTTCTTTACATGTTTTTATGTGCTTCAGAATGTCTTTTTCCTTCCTTGCGCGTGTCTTACAAGCTGTTTTAAATTTCCTATTCAAAATATGTGAGCTTCATATTTCTTCTAATTCAGAAAGAGGGAACTTGTATATTTTCCCCAAAATATGCTTGGAAATTTTAGAATTCTTTTCTTTTGTGCTATGTGTTTGTCTTCCGAATCGAGAAACACTGCTATAGCAAGGATGGACAACATGGAAAGAAAGAGAAAGGAATGGAAGTTAGAAGGGAAAAAAGGATGGGGACTGAGCTATCCTGTGATATTCTTATTCTGCAAAGTAAACATATTATCTCTGACCTGGATTACTGGTCTTCTCCTGCCTGCTACCAAAGACCTACTCTCCACATAGCAGACTGAATTCTTTTAAAATGCATGTCAGATAATGTTCCAAATTCTTTAATAGTTTTCTCCTACACTTAGAATGACATTCAAACTCTTTATTGTAGCATACAGGTGATCTGTCCTCCAACTCCTCAAATCTCTCACCCTAGTCTCTGCTCTGCTTTTTAAAAAATGTCCAGACTTTTCCACTTCAGGTCCATTTATTTCACTTGACATTCTTTTGCCTGGAACACTCTTCCTCCCATTTTGATCATGACTGACTTCCCAAAAATTTAGGTCTCACCTTGAAATTCCTTTGCAGAGAGACCTTCCTTGACTAATTTACCTAAATAAGTCCTGTTTTCATTCCAACCCCAGCAGGCTCTTACAGTGTTATTTGTTCATTGGTTTCTTCGTGGCACTTAGCACAAACTGAAATAATTTTCATTAATGATTTGTTTACCTGAGATTTGTCTCCCTGAATAAGACTGTGAACACCTGGAAAGAGCAGGTTCTTTATCCACTTGGGTCATGTAGGTATTCTATTCTCATTGACTATCACAATGTCTAGCATAATAAATTTCAGCTAAATAAGTGAATGCATTAAATAAATAATTTTGGTATGACTGGCGTATTGGGCCCGTGTGTGTTTTCTTGAACAGGAGGGTGGTAAATTAGAAAACTTCTAGAAGTTCTTCTAGAACATTTTTGGGGAAAGTTTGCATAATGACAGATAGGAAGAAGTTATGCTAGAAAGATAGGGTGAGGGCCAAATCCTGGGGTTTCTTGAATGTCATGGCACATAGTTTCTGGAATCTCTTTGTTCTCATTGGATAGCTGCTGAAGTTTTTGAAGTAGTCAGTGTGTATGAAATGCTCCTTTATGATTAGCCCTGGAAAATCAGGTGTGTCTCAGAAGAGTCTCATTCCCTCAGCAGTGAACAGAGGGACTTCTGAATGCAAACAGGGTGTTGACTTAATCAGTGTTCATTTCTTTTCCACGCAGCATGACAGCCACGTACAGTTTTGCTTCTGGGCTGGCAGGAAAAAAATTTTGCTTAGTTCTTCAGAGTCCTAGGGGAAATGAGCCAGTGCTTCTTGAAGGCATGTCTGACCCCTGTCTCTCATATCTCAATGGAACAGTGGGCTTCCTTAAAAGTGATACCATCTTGCTGTCAAATCATTTCCCTTTCCTCAGTTGTTCTTTATTTGCAATTTATTTTTCTGATGCATAGAGTTACCCTCACATTAGAGCTATCCTCTCCTGTGGTTTGTTTTGTTTTAGTTTTAAAGGAAACCCAGTTTGGAGCCTTTCATGTAGTTGGCTTTCTGTTTGTTTTAATAGAATAGTGGGTAGATCCTTCCTTAGCTGAAACCTTGTACCTACAAGTTATTGTAATAATCCCCAGCCAATAATATGGCATTATATGGAGTATACACACAATTTACAACCTAAAAATGTTCACCTGGACTTTCCCTACCACTTCAGATATGTGTATCTAATTTCTAAAATAAAGTACAAAAATATTAAGCTTCCAGTTAAAATAATGGCCTGTTTTATAGACTCTGGCAGCTAATTCTAGTTTCCTGAACTGGTTCACAATGATTTAAAAGCCTTGGCCAGTTCACAAGTAAGTTTTATGGTTTAAGTCATAGAATCTTTTTATACTTAGGGATGATGGTATTATGTTCAATACTGGGTTATAAATGGGGAAAGCACCAAATAAGCAAAAAACCAATGTGGTCAAATTTAAGAAAAGGAACCAGTGTATCAACATTGTCTGACAGTTTTCAAGAGCTACTGGATCACAGTCATCAGTGGTAAGCAGTATTGGGAGCTCTCAGTGGGAATAATGACTTCTGAGATATTATTAAACTTATATCGTTTCAGTACATGGTAGCTTATGAAGCACACTCCCATATAGTATACTAATATACCTTTTGATTTGTCTGTAAAACATTTACTTGCTAGAAGTTTCTTTTCTCTTTTCGTAGACATTTCATAGACATCTGTATGTGAAGTAGGTGGGAAACAAAAAGATAAATAAGTCATATAGTCTCTTTCCTCAGAGCTCTAGTCAGAGAAACAAACATACTTAGGTAGACACAATGTATGGCAGCATATAAGTGACAGTAAGGGATCGTATTGCAATGCTTGGCTACAGCTACAGAGTGGGGAAAGGATCTATTAGAGAAAGCAGAGTTGAAGTTAGGCTTCATAGAATATGTTAGATTTCAACCAGAAAAGACCAAGGGACAAAGGATCTCTAGGTCAATGGAACAACCTGAGCAAAACATGAAAGTAGGAAAATGTAAAACAAATATTGACTTATGTTCTATCACTTATAATGGTGCTATAGAACCTGAGTATGTCAGTGCGAGTCTGTTTTGTTCATGACTTATAGTTTGACTCTTAACTGGAGGCAGTTTTCACAACCACAAGAACCTTAACAATCCTTACAAATTATGTATCCATGAGCATTATACACTACTAGAGGCCCCATGCACAAAATTTGTCCAAGGGGCTCAGCCCTCCCAGCAGCCCCAGCTGCCTCGTGGCCCCATCTCCCACCGACTGGTTGTTCTAGAAGGTAATCCTGGAAGGTCATTCTGGAAGGTCATTCCTCCATCTGGTCTAATTAGCATATTAGCTCTTTATTATATAGGATATCCATCATTAAGGAGAGCATATTTACATCCTTGCAACTGATAGATCATGTATAAGTTGTATTATGTTGTTTATTTTATTTGAGTTTTAATGATTTCTGAAGCACATTCATATATATTGCACAATTAATTTCTTCCAAAATCCTATGTAGTAGATGGTGGTATGGGTGTTTTATGGGCATTTTTCTTAAAGGAGAACTGAGGCACAAATGCTTAGATGACATTTTCCAGGTTCACACCATCACCCAATTTACAACCTAGTCTTTTTCCTCTATATCTATATACTTGCTGCTATGTTGATGTCCACAAAATTCATATTTATTTGTGTTAGTGTGTGAGATATTAAGGAAATTTAGTGTGTGAGATATTGAGTTAGTGTGTGAGATATTGAGAAAGAAACAAGGTCCAAAATTAGTGATTTTGACAGTCAAAATAATTCTGGGAGCATACAATTGAGAACAAAATCAAAGTGGTAGGGAAAGTTGATTTCAGACGAGATGTAATGGAAGGAATGCCGGTAGGTAATAATATGAAAATTAAAAGGGAATGGGGAACATTTTACTATTATTAGACAACTTTAAGGATGTCAGGTCTTGAAATAAGCCAGCTTATCTTTTCTGAGGTAAGTGTTAAGATTCTTTATATATCATGAGATGCAATTACTGGGGACTTTATGTTACTCATAGTTGAGTGGCCAAACTGTTAAAAGTATACTAAGTTGAATCTTCTATGTATTCCATGATTTTACATTTACTTGTTCAGGAACAATTAGTTTTTAATTCTTTATACTTTAAAATAGATCAAACATTATTTGGATTTACCATGGAAAAGGCTACTAATATTCAGTTTTCTGATATGGGGCAAATGGATCTATCTATAGACATTCTTCATGACTAAAGCATAAGGAAACATGTCTTAAATTGAGTAAATTTAATTCCATTTTGTTAAAAATGTATCACTGTATGTTACATGGAAAGCAGTATATTAAGTGGGTTAGGAGAAGATTTATAGTGTCTATATAGTGGTTATTAAAAATTCTTCCTTTTGAATTAATGAGAATCAAACTTATAAATTTGAAATCAAATACCTCAATCAAAGGAGTGTGGTAGAACATTGTATGTGCTGTATTTCACATCTCTTATTAGAATAATTTAATCTTACAACTTTGTATTGTTCATATTCTAAAGCCTGGTAACACACTTGGTGTAGTAGATGATATACCCAATCCCATGCTTTGGAAAATCATAGGTGTGTATACTCCCATTGTTAGGACTAATGCAAAAGGGACAAAAAGAAATGAAGAGAAAATAGAAGACAAAGATGTTGACAATATGAATTAGAAGTGGCACAGCACTGGCAGCTTTTTATTTTGATTAATTATAAAACAAATCAAAGATTCAATTTCCAGAAAGCACAGATGACTTAGAAAAGAGGGGAAGAGAATGAACTTGTAACAAAGTACATGTATCCATTCTCACTAAAGCCAAATCATCCACATATCATTTTAGTAGTACTATTTATTAACTTCCTGCCCTTTGGGATGGAGGTTTAATATCGTGAATGTGAACTGTCACTTTCAAGCCTAGTACTGAGCCTGGTTTAGAAATATTTACCTTTATTTGATCCTTTTTTTTTCTTCTTCTTCTCCACAGCTTAACCAGTTGGAAAAAGCAGTGGAAGCAGGGCACACATTTTTCATGGCCAATCCTGAGCACATGGAAATGCAGCAGAACATTGAGAATTACAGAACAATGGCCGGCGTCGAAGAATCCCAATTGGTAGATCGAGAAGCCAGACCACACCTGGTGAGCTCTGGGGACCCCTGCCAACCATGTGGAGCTAAATGCTCCTAAGTTTCATTTGCCTCAAAGCAGATTCCTGTGAATGAATATCTCAAAATGGCTCCTGATTTCCAAAACAGTGACATTTTTATACTTTTAGAGTTATTACATAAAATGTTATAATTATTATGGTTAAAAAATTGAGAGACAATGAAAATTATTTTAGAAAATCAGTTTGACATGGTGAAAAGTAGAATATGATATAGATATCTGTAACCCTTTCTGAGCTTCAGCTCCCCCGCCAGCATTATGTTCCACCTGGGACTTGAGCCAGTGTGAACTGCTCAGGTCACACTATAGTTTCCTAGCTCCAAGTCCGCGTGGTTTTTCCGTTGTACCTGTACTTTCAAATTCTGGGGTTTTGGTTTCAAGCTATATAATTATTTGTTTACTTAAGATGACAATATGTTGAAAGGGCTTCTTTTACAATTAGAGACATTTCTATTCTCAACAAGTGGACTCCAAGATGATTAAATAAAATGATAAGAGAGGAAGATTTTAAATGGAAGCCTCCCCTCCCCCCTTATTTTTTTTCAACTGGGCCAGGCCAGGAAATGGTTGTCATGTCCACCCCCATCAATCTTCCTGCATTTTGTTGCATGGCCCTACCTACATTCAAAAGGGTTAGAAAGTATCGTTTTTTGGAGGGTGGAGGGAAGGACTAGGTCCCATGCAGCCAGAAAAAGCCCAGGATTTAGTACTGTAGCCAGCACAAAATCACATTGCTCTTTAAGTAAGATGAAGAGAAATATGTCAATACACATTATAACTACAGCACATTTGTGATAATATAAAATTAAAGGAGCTTGGTAGCCTTCTCTGCCAATATATGACCTGGCATACTAAGGTCTCTAGCTAATAACTTCAAGATCTCATAATTTTCTCCTAATTGTGCAGGTCCTCTATCTATCTTTCAGCCCCGTATGTCACAATTCCATCAGTCAATATGAAACAGGACATGAAAGGGTCTGAGCTGTCTGCTGCTACCTACAAATAAGTAGAGACGAGGTTGAATCTTTGTGGTGCGTTTATTAATCAGAAAGCCAGCAATCTGAGGGAGGAGCAGAAGTGTAACACGCTGAAAAGACGGCTCTAACAGTTCATTTTAAACAAGCTCTTATATAGGGTTAGTGGTTGGGAAAAATTTTAAAGTTAGTGAGTTCCCAGGGTGTGTCTCTCATTGTATTTGTAAAGATTAGCCACAAGTGCTTCAAAGATTAGCTCCAAACGCTGTCTCCCTTCAGATAGGTCTGTCCTTGATCTGGGCTCTGGACTGACTTATCTCCAGGGCCTGTTCTCCTTCCTTTTTTTCTTTTTTTAATATTACTTTATTGATTTCAGAGAGGAAGGGAGAGGGAGAGAGAGATGGAAACATCAATGATGAGAGAGAATCATTGATCGGCTACCTCCTGCACGCCCCACACTGGGGATTGAGCCCACAACCCAGGCATGTGCCCTGGGCTGTAATCGAACCTGGGACCCTTCAGTCCACAGGCCGATATCCACCGGGCAAACCGGCTATAGCTGTTCTCCTTGTTATAACATGTCCTTTAGTTCCCCAGGATTTGTAAGAAAATCTCTTCTTTATAGTGAGTAGCTATCAAACAACTGTGATTCTATTTCTATTTAGTGCCCCTTCCCTGACATTCCCCATTACTTTTAAATCTTATATCTATGAGATTAGTTTCTTACGGAAAGCATCTTACTGCTGAAGGAGAGGGGAGGGTGGAGTCTTGCCTATCCCAATGTATAACAGTCCATCTACAGAGGCTGTCACTATATTTTCCAGGGGGAGTTGAAGCATGAGATGGGGCCCATGTTCCCATTTACCACACATTCCACCCCAACATGGATGCTTTCCTTTCCACTCCCATACAATCTGCCCATATATTTTCCACATATATCCTGGAGAGGGAGGAGGATGGGTGAGACATTACATTTGTTTTTTACAGCAGTCGTATAACATATAGTAAAGGAATAATAAAGATATATAATAGATTTATACATACTAGTATCAAAGTACATAAAATTGATTGTCAGTCCCAAGAACATTTTTAAATTATGTTAAGATTGGACCATTCTGTCAGGTTGACCGGGTTTGTTCTCCAAGGCAGCCCAGCAGTAGCAGAGAGGGACATTTTATTAACAAACCTAACAGTCTGAAACATTGGACCTGAGAGCCACTTCATTAGCCCATCTTGCAGAGCTGTGAGCCTGCACTGAACTAGGGAGAATAAGACAAATGTTTAGTAGGTACCAACAGAGGCAAATGAGCACCAGTGGGTAGTATACAGGCCATTGCTCTATCCTGTGTAAAAATAGTGGCTTGTTCATGTGGTCTTTCTGGTCTTCTATACCATGCCTTTTGACAAGTGACATCCCCTCCAGCTCAGAATACTAGTTGTGAGAGGAGGAATACAAATCTTCCAGATGGAATAGTAGTTGGCCACTTATCAATTATGGTAGGTTATAAGAGCAAGCCCGGGGCAAGACCCTCCTCCCCTCATGGGGCTAGGGGAGCTCACCAGCAGGTACCAGTTTGAGTTTCCCAGGGCCAGGTTAATACACTAGCTCTAGGGTGCTGGCAACAGCAGGTTATTCTCCGCTCCCCAACAAGGTCCTATTTTCAGCCCCTTTCCATACCTGGGACCAAAACCCTTTTGGGATTTGGAGTCTCCCCTGTGGCTGCCAGAGACCCCCATGACATCCCCTCCTGGGTTACATGTATGTTTAATTCCCCCGGGAGGGCTAGATCATAGATACCAAGCGCCTGTACCTATTTAACTGCTCTTTTGCCCCTCATAAGCCCATGGTGCTTCTCCTGCCAATCCTACTGTTGGCTTCTCCTTGTGAGAATTATAGAGATTTCAGGTGCAGACAGTATAGTCTTGAGTGTGCTCAGGAAGAAAATGAAATTGACCGACACCACACTAGTCGCTCAGTTAAGTCCTTTCTTATCTACAATTAGTTGAAACTGAGGAAGTTATACTTTACCTCCCAGTGCCATCCTTTTTTACCCTTTTACAGCACAGGAGTTCAATATCCCACCTACCTGCGTGGTCCCGAGTCTGCATGAACCCTGCTATCCAAGTGCCCTGTGGGTGGGTGCTATTTGAAAAAAAAAAGTTTTTCTGTTTCTTTGCAGGAGAGTTACAGCGCAGGAGTCAAACATTACGAGGCGGATGACTTTGAGCCAGCTATCAAGTACTTTGAACAAGCTTTGAGAGAATATTTCAATGAAGATACAGAGTGTCGAGCCCTGTGTGAGGGGCCTCAGAGATTTGAAGAGTATGATTATTTAAGGTATAAAGCTGGTCTCTATGAAGCTATTGCAGGTAAAACTTACTTTTTTCTTTTATTTATTTTATGATTATAGAAATACTACATGCAATCTCTAAAAATATTTCAACAACATAGAAGTGTGTATATATATATATTGTAAGAAGTGAAAGATTCTCATATATCTAAACACTCCTATCTGCTTGTAGATACATTTATGTAGTTTAAATTTTGGTGACTGTGCTCCCAAACATTTTCAGATGCATATCTAAATATTTATGTAAGATAATTCTATTTTTTATAAAAATAGGACAATACTATAAATACTAATTACCAGCATATTTTTTTGTTTTATTTTATGCTTAACAATGTACTGTGGACTTCTTCTCATGTAAGTACATGGAGATCTACCTTATTGTATTTAATGGTTGCACAATGTTCCATTATATGGTGACAGCACAATTTATTCGAACAGTTTTTTACTGATGAATATTAAGGAAGTTGCAATTTATTATTCCTATAAACAATGTAGTAGTGAATACTTTTATATAGTATTCTTTAATTATTTAAAAGGGTATTCTATTATATGTGAGAATTTAATGTGTTACAAAGTAGTATTTAAAATAGTAGGTAATATACATTCTACATTAAGTGAGAAGATTAACTAGTTAACCATTTGTGGTGGGAAGTGAGTTTTCTGGTGTATATAAAAATATACACAAAAATGTACTCTTTATATTAATAATTTAGTTGTAAAAATAAAACTGTTAGAAGAAAATGCAGAAGAACATTTGTGTAATAGTAGGAGAGGAAAAGCTCTTATTTGCATGCAAAAACAAGAAATATGAAGAAAAAGGTAGACCTTAAGACAAACACAAAAGATACAGTAAGTCAAGCTGATTTACAAAGGACAAGTGGGAAAAATTGAAAAAAAATATTACAGTCAAAGTGTTAATATCCTTAATATTTAAATGGAGCATGTAAATTATTATGAGTAGTAATTTATTTGTTACTTACGAGTAGTAATAATAATAACAAACACTCACTTTGCAGTTACAATATACAAAGCACTTTACTTCTTTATCTCTCTTTTAATTCTCTAAACAACTTCTTGTGTAGATACTATTGTTATTCACTCTCTTCTTTTTTTAAAAATGAGGAATTTGTACCTCAGAAAGACTAAGTAATGTGATTAAAGTGAAACTTGGAATCCAGACTAGACATTTTTCACTCTGGGTCCCCATGTTTTAAAAGTTTACACAATTGAAAAATGAGCAAAGGGTGATTTATTCAATAACAAATGTTTAACAAATAATTGTTGAGTGTGTAGTATGTTCCAAGTTATAAAAATAGTAGAGACCTGGTGCACGAAATTCATGCACTGGGAGTGGAGTGTCCCTCAGCCCGGCCTGTGCCCTCTTGCAATCCGGGACCCCTCAGGGCCTATTGGGGCTTTCCTTTCCCCTACTGTCAGCAGCTGACCTCGCCCCTGCTGCTGCCTCGCCCCTGCCGCTGCCACTGCTTGCCATCCGTCCCTGTCCCTCACCACCCCCTGCCACCAGTCGCCTCACTCTGCAGGCACAGGCATGGGGTGCTATTGCTTGGCTGGCCTGGGCCTCCCTCTGCGGGGCGATTGATCGTGGGGCCCCCAGATCAATGGCTCTGTAGAGGGAGGCCCTGCCCACATGCCGCAGTGCAGCCAGCCTGGTGGCCTGAGCCTCCCTCTGTGGGGCGATTGTGGAGCGATGGCAAGGCCCCCCAATCAATCACATCGCACCTTCCTTGGCTGCCCTGATGTCAGTGCGTGTGGTCGTCTAGAAGGTCGTCTGGATGGTAGTTCTGCTGTTCAGTTGTTTGGTCGATTTGCATATTATGCTTTTATTATTATAGATGAAAAATAGCGTTCAACTTCACATATACCCATAGAAACATAAATTCATGAAGTCAGTATGCTCTCCCCAACTTCCAGTGTTTTCTCTCTCCATAGAAAGTGCCACTCACCTAGTAGCTTAAACCAAACCTCAAGAAGTTATCTTTCAATCCAAAATTTCCCTCAATTCCTATACCCCTCTAATTTGTTACCAAACTTTGATAGATGTCCCCTTCTAATAGTACTTAAGATTCCCTGGTTCTCTTCACCTCTTTCACTACCACCCTGCTTCAAATCAACAGTATATTTTCACTAAGCCACTGTGATAGCCTCCTTGCTGGTCCTTATGTCCTCTTTGGCTTTTACTCTGTAGGGCTCAGTGGTTCTCAACCTGTGGGTCGCGACCCCTTTAGATACATCCTGCATATCAGATATTTACATTACAATTCATAACAGTAGCAAAATTACAGTTATGAAGTAGCAACAAAAATAATTTTATGGTTGGGGGTCACCACAACATGAGGAACTGTATTAAAGGGTCGCGGCATCAGGAAGGTTGAGAACCTCTGCGTGTAGGCCAACAGAGCAGTCTTCTAAAAAAAGGGAAAGTGTACTCACAGACATGCTGAAAACCCTCGTGGCTTCCGTTGCACTTGGAATAAAACCCAAAACCTTTAACAAGGAGATCATACTTGTCTACATTTTCATCCTCTTTCCCCTCTCCCCTCTTAGTGACACATTCCTACTGTAGTGCTTTTAATTCTTTGCATATGCCAAGCTCATTCCCACTTACCGACCTTCCAAATATCCTTTTCCTCTATCACTGGCTAATGTCCGATCTTGTTCAGTGCCCAGTCCTCAGTACCTAAGTACAGAGTCTGGCAAATAGTAGGTTCTTAGTAAATATGTGTTACATGAATGGGTTGAATAACCAAAGGAGAGGAGATATCCATCACTTATACTGCGAGGACTAAAAGGGTTAATAATGCTCTGTATTTGTGAAAATGTAGGTCATACATTGTTGAGATCCTTTAGTGGGGCACTTGGGGAAATATCTGTTACATTAGACAAGGAAGTTAGACTGAAAATTGATTTGTCAAATGACCAATTTGCCACACACTCGGTTACCCTAAATCAACTAAATTCACTTAAAATCAATACCAATATTTGAATTATTGAGGAATTTTTCCCCAGAGTTGTGTTTCATGGGGCTTCTGCCAGAACCATTTGCCTGCATTTTTGTGAGCACTGCTCATTTGAATGCCAGTTGCATGTGTTTTACATTTTAAGTGCTGTGTGTTTCTCTACAGAGAAATACTTTTCCTTTATTATAGTTTACTATCTTGTGGCTTTGTGGGGATATGTGTCCTCCCTCCACTTCCATATTTGCCTCTACACGTGCCTGCCTCTACCAATGGCGACTAAACAGCCTTGGCAAATGTCCTAGATCTGGTTTAGGAAAATTGACTAACAATTCCCCACAGCTTAACATTTAGTAATTTCCTCAAGGTCACCACAGCATGCTGTTTGCTGGAAAAGAAGAGAGATCTCCTAATTCAGGCTCTTAACACTTAACACGACTTCCAACACCATGACGCCCACTTCCAGTAAAGAAAATTGATTTAAGAAAAAGTCATAGTTCTTTAAGTTCAAGCCAAATATTATATATTATAATAATATGGTAAGTCTTGGGAATTTGAAACACATTCAATTTTTTATGAGAAAAAAATTTTAAAAAATATTACCATACAGTGTCTTGGATCTAAACTTATTAGAAACATATTAATTGCGCAATAATATTTGGTAAAAGAAGCAAGGAATACAACTAATAAAAAGTGACATTATAATGCTATGTAAATTCTTGTTTGGTTCAAAACTGTCCTAAATGTGGAGTAAAACTGCTTTTAAAACATAAATGTATTTAGAAAGCCAGAATATTTTAATTTTTAGAGTTAGAAGACCATTAAAAATTAGAGAAATATACAAATGGTTTCTGAATACAGTTATTTATTACTAGCGATGCTTGTTGAAGCCCTAAAGGATATTATTGTGTCACTCTTACTTTGCTGCTATTTACATCTTGCTTTGAAAAATACTTTTATTCAGATTTTGAGTTTTTGGTGGATGTGTTTCCCACCTTTTCCTTTTGCTTGTCATTTGGAATTAGAAGGAGTGTGACCAGCTAAGGTAAATGACCAGCTAACTAAGAGAAAACAGTTGAGGGTTGTTTGTTATTATTTTCTTAAGAAATAAAATAGCTAGCTATTTGTTTCTAATATTCTAATCAAATAAACAGAACTCATTCTTTCCCTCACATTCCCCCACCTGGAGATAAGAATCAGTGGACAGCACAGATTCTGTTAGCTATGCTATATTGGCTTGAGTTGGCCAGCTTATGTGAAAAATAGCACACTTGTTTTTCTTTTATTTATTTTTTATTGATCTCAGAGAGGGAGGGAGAGGGAGAGAGAGAGACAGAAACATCAATGATGAGAGAGAATCATCGATAGACTGCCTTCTGCATGCCCAGACATGTGCTCTGACCAGGAATCGAACCATGACCTCCTAGTTCAAGGGTCGACCCTCAACCACTGAGCCACCGTGACCGGATGGCACACTCTTTTTTTTAATGTACCAGAAAATGTATCTTTCCTTCCTGTTGTGGTTTGGGGTTCTTCTTCAAGGTCATCAAGGTACAATCTGAACTCTGCCTAACTGAGTAGGTTTTGAAAGAAGGCAGTTGTGGTAAATTAAATTGTACAGTCATCATTCTCAAGAGAAACCGCTCAGCACGAGCATGAATGAACTATTTATTCTCTGGCTGGCAAAGACTACCTTCATCTTCATTGTAAAAATCAAAATTTGGGTAAAATATAGCAAGCATGTTGTTTTTTTATCCTCTGGTTCATTAGCCACTTGTGTTTCCTCAGCTCATGCTTAGATAAGCCAGAGCCCACAACGAAAGGAAGCATGAAAACCCCTACACTTCAGGATCTTGGCCTGTTTGCAGGCAAGGAGAATGGGAACAAAGAAAGGGGAACAGAGAGAGGCAAAGTGCTTATTTAAATTATTCAGCTTTCATCCTTCTCTTATTTTATGATTCCCTACAGTATTAGGATTTGGTATAGCTAAATTTTGTCCAGTTGTTGGACTAATTTGTAATTGGGCCAAATGGGTTCCTACGCTATAGCTGTAAAGGAATATTGTTTTTATTTCCCTTTTAGGAGAAGTTGCCTGAAGATGTTAATACACAGAAAGAGCATTCTCCTTTACTTCTCTGCAGGGAACTCCCCACCTCCAGGGCAGTTCCTTTCTCTCAACTAGTCCTTAACAAAACCGGGACCCAAACTTCAGATTTTGACTCTGGCCTATTTCAGCCTATTAACATATCCAAAAAGAGGCTCTGAAGTTGTTATAATAGGAGAGTCAGCTATTCAGCTGGGTGTGAGTGGGGTGAGATGGCCTATGTCACTTTTAGGAGATGTATATAAAACAGCGTACAGGGAAGGGAAGAGGGCAGTACAGACACACGACCAGCAGACAGAAGATTTGGAATCTACTATTTTTAAAAAATATATATTTTTATTGATTTAAGAGAGAAAAGGAGAGAAACATCAATGATGAGAGAGAATCATTGATTGGCTGCCTCTTGCACGCCCCTTCCTGCAGGCCCTATGCTCTTGACTGGAATCGAACCCGGGACCCTTCAGTCCACAGGCTGATGCTCTATCCACTGAGCCAAACTGGCTAGAGCTTGACTCTACTGTTAATTACTAGAGTGATCACTGGTTAGGAGGCCTTGGCAAGTCACTTAACTCCCTTGGTGAAAAGGATTTCTGGTCATGGAGTGAGGATAATAATGATATGGTTCCCAGGTGTGGTGAGGTGAGGAATGCCCTGTTGTTACTGTGGCTCTGAGGTCTGGACATTGAGCTGACTGGGGGGACCCACTGGGCTCTTGTCTTCCAGATCACTACGTGCAGGTGCTTGTTTGTCAGCATGAGTGCGTGAGGGAACTTGCCACCCGCCCTGGCCGCCTCTCCCCGATTGAGAACTTTCTTCCCCTGCATTATGACTACCTACAGTTTGCCTACTATCGAGGTAAAGCGTGGGTTATCCGTGAAGACCTTTGTAGGCCAGGGGTGGTGCTCCTCATTACAGAATCGCTCTCTCCTCTCACATCACCATAGCTCAGGACAAGAGGAGCAGGAGGTGAAACTATAAATGGGAAATGCTGTGACAATGTCCTGAAAATGATACTAGACTGACATTTCATGTGATTTTCAAAAAATTTTTTTCGATTTAATTATAAAAGGTAATATATTCACAGGTTCAGAGACCAAATATCATAAGAGCCCCCCTTGCTTCCTTTTCCTCACAGCCTGATGTTATGTCCTGCAACATAGTTTCTTATTTATCCCTCTAAAAAGTTTATATGGAAACAATACACACATACACAACACCACACACACACACAGATACACACCCTGACTTATTTCTTCATCTTACACAATGAAGATAGCATATTATTTACACTGTTCTCTACATTGATTTCTTTACCTAAAAATACATATCAGACTTTTTTAGTAGGTTTGGCCTATGAAATTACCATTAGCTTAGGTCAAATTTGGGTAATTTTATATGCTTCAACCTAATTGTATCAATACATACAGACCTTCCTCATTAATTTTTTTTTACATCTGCATATCATATAATTTATTTCATGTGATTCTTTACTGATGGGTATTGTATTGTTTATAATTTTTGTTATGATAATCAATGATAAAATGAATAACATTTTATATATCTTATTTTACATTTGCACATAATACCTATAAGATGGAATTCTATGATTAAATGGTTTATTTGTAATTTTAATAGATGTTGCCAATTTTTTCTCCATTGAGTACATTTTTTATTGCTCATCAACAGAATATATTATCAAATTGTCAGATATCAAACTGTCCCAATCTATTAGGTTAAAAATGATATCTCAATATAGTTTAATTTCCATTTATCTAAGAAAGAGACTGAGCATCTTTTCTTATATTTAAGAGCATTGAATATAATTTTGGTTGCTGAAATTAGTCTTAGGTACCATGTTGTCAAACTCAGTACAAAAATCAGAATTAACTACTAAAATTCTATTTTGTGTATCTGTATTAAATAATATAAGTTGTCAGCATACATCTTCAGATGGAAACTTTTGATAATTTATGTAAAACAACTAGCTCCAAAGAAGACCAAAGTAGTAACTTTGGGATACCTGAAATCATGTTCCTTCTACCTGTAACTATTTCTGATTGCTATACTCAGCCTCACCTTATCTTCCCTTATTGACATATAATGCTGACTTATCACATACATGTTGAAGTATCCTTCAACCTCCTTTAGGCAGACCTCAGCTGACTCTAATGCTTCAACTCCTTGATCTTTCAGTTGGTGAATATGTGAAAGCCCTAGAGTGTGCCAAGGCCTATCTTCTTCTCCATCCGGATGACCAGGATGTCCTAGACAATGTGGATTACTATGAGAGCCTGCTGGATGACAGCATGGACCTGGCATCCATCGAGGCCCGAGAGGTGAGATCAATGTTCTCAGAAGAAATTCTGCATTCTACTAGGTGCTCCAGGGAGAGTTAGTAAAAAATATAACACTGCACTTAAATATACCTGAAAATTTAGTAAAGGTTCTAGAACTTGGTTCTTTTGAACTTTGTTAATTCCAGAAGCATGTTTTTTTCATATGTACTAGCTTGTAAAAACCTGTTGAGATGGTGACATTTTTGCAGCTCTGTTTTTATTTCTTTTTTTGCTTACTGTCACTGTCTAATAAAACCTATTTCCACTTAAATGCTTATTATATCTCTTAACTGTTATTTAAATTTAAATTTTTCTTTCATATTTTTCTCCTCTAGGATTTGGCTGTGTTTGTGAAGCGTCATAAACTGGAATCAGAACTAATAAAATCGGCTGCAGAGGGCCTGGGGTTTTCATACACTGAACCGGTAAGAGCAAAAAGGAAAAAGGGAGTGTTTTTTAAAAGAACTGTTCAGTGGGCATTTTCATTATACTTTTATTACCCAGTCTTATTTGTTGAAGATTCTAATCCCCTGCCTGAACAAAAAGAGGATATATGTGAATGATTCAATACTAGAGGCCTGGTGCACGGATTCATGCACCGGTGGGGTCCCTCAGCCTGGCCTGTGGGGATCGGGCCAAAACTGGCTCTCTGACATCCCCCAAGGGGTCCTGGATTGTGAGAGGGCACAGGTCAGGTTGAGGGACCCCACTGGTGCATGATCGGGGCTGGCGAGAGCCTGCCGGAGGGTTCCAGGGTGTGTCTGGCTGTCTCACCTAGTCCCAATTGGCCGGACTCCAGCAGCAAGCTAACCAACCAGAGTGTCTGCCCCCTGGTGGTCAGTGCACATCATAGCAACTGGTTGAATGATCAAATGATTGGACACTTAGCATATTAGGCTTTTATATATATATATACTAGAGGCCTGGTGCACAAAAATTTGTGCACTCGGGGGGAAGGGGGGGCCCTCAGCCAGGCCCGTGCCCTCTCGCAGTCTGGGACCCCTCAGGGGATGACCACCTGCTGGCTTAGGCCCGCTCCCCGGAAGATTGGGCCTAAGATGGCAATCAGACATCCCTCTGGCAGCCCGGCAGCCCTCGGGGGATGTCCACTTGCCAGCGGGGAGCAGGCCTAAACTGCAGTCGGACATCCTTAGCGCTGCTGAGGAGGCAGGAGAGGCTCCCACCACCACTGCTGTACTGGCAGCCATCAGCCTGGCTTGTGGCTGAGCAGAGCTCCTCCCATGTGAGAGCGCCCTGACCACCAGAGGGCAGCTCCTGCATTGAGCGTCTGCCCCCTGGTGGTCAGTGTGTGTCATAGTGACCAGTCATTCCCAGTCTTTCTGCTGTTAGGGTCAGTTTGCATATTATCCTTTTACTATATAGGATAGAGGCCTGGTGCATGGGTGGGGGCCGGCTGGTTTTCCCTGAAGGGTGTCTCAGATCAGGGTGGGGGTCCCGCTTGGGTGCCTGGTCAGCCTGGATGAGGGGATGATGGCTTTTTGCAGCTGGTCACACCCCTTTCATGTTGGGGGGTCCCCACTGGGGTGCCTGGACAGTCTGGGTGAGGGGCTGAGGGCCGTTTTCAGGCTGGCGGGTGACTGAAGCTCCCAACCTCTCCTTTTTTTCTTTTTTTTTTTCTTTTTTTTTAAATATATTTTATTGATTTTTTACATAGAGAAAGGAGAGAGATAGAGAGTTAGAGACATCGATGAGAGAGAAACATCAATCAGCTGCCTCCTGCACATCTCCTATTGGGGATGTGCCTGCAACCCAGGTACATGCCCTTGACTGGAATCGAACCTGGGACCTTTCAGTCTGCAGGCCAACGCTCTATCCATTGAGCCAAACCAGTTCGGCCTTTTTTTTTTATTATTCTGGGTTATTTACCTCTATGGCTGTCACTGAGCTGAGAGCCCGCTTTAGCTCTGAGGCTCGGCTCCAGCTCTGAGACCTCGGCTGCTGAAAGCAGGTATCTGGGCTTTGTTTAGCTTCTATAATTGAAACACTGTTGCAGCTCCAGCTCTGAGGCCCGGCTGGCTGAAAGCATGTTTCTGGAGATTGTTTAGCTTCTATAATTGCAACATAGTTGCTTAGAGTGCAGCTCAGAGCTGGGCGGCGGCAGGCGGGGAACCTTGGCTTCCTCCATCACTGGAGCAAGCAAGCCTCCTGTTCGCTTCAGCTGCCTGGCTGCTGGCCGCCATCTTGGTTGGCAGTTAATTTGCATATTGCCCTGATTAGCCAATGGGAAGCGTGTCAGAGGTACGGTTAATTACCATGTTTGTCTATTATTAGATAGGATAGACTAGAGGCTCAGTGCATGAAATTCATTTACTGGTAGGGTCCCTAGCAGCTGCCAGCTGCCAGCCGGGTACTCTCTCTCTTCCCCTGGCTGCCTGCCACCGCTGGCCAGGGCCTCCCTCCCTTCCCCTGGCCGGCCCCGCCCCCTGGTCAAACTCCTGGATGAACTCCCAGTTGAGGGGACAATTTGCATACTATGCTTTTATTATATAGGATAAGTGATAAACAAACTTTAAAGGATTTTTATAGATTCCCATACCACTGAGATCCCAAGTCAAAAGCAAATGTATTAGGATAGAAGTGAAGTACTTTGTACATGATACATTTGCCTCAGGTTTGTTTTATTTCCTGAATTATGAATGCATTTGTATTTTCTCTTAAACATTTAAAACATTTTAAAAACTTCAAAAAGGACAAATCACTCATGATTATAGTACCCAACATGCTGACTTTTCTTCACTTGTTTAATCGTTCTTCATATGAAGACATATCTTTGGCAGAACTAGTACTGTGGCATATAGATATGTTTCTGTTTTGATTTTTATTTCAGGAACCATAAGCAATTTCTATATTTTTACAGTTTCTAAAATTATTTTAGCTACATATATACAGTTGATGTCCAATAAATAAACTCTTCTCATGATGCTGAACATTTGATTTGTTTTCTCTTATACTTAATGCAATAAGCATTTTTCTGTTGAACTACACCGTTTGAATCAATTCCCAGGAGTGGGATTACTCTGCCATTCAGGGATATGAGAAGTTTTAAAGTTCTTGAAATTGCTTTTCTAAGAGTGTTGTCTGACCTTTAATGCTCCTAGCAATGCATAAAAATACCAGTTTACTACAAACATCTCAGCAATGAGAAATAACATTTTAAAATAATGTGTATTAAGCATATATTATATACAAAATGGTACATCATTGTTGCATTCATTTGTATTCCTTTGATGGTCAGTAAAAACAAACTTTTCACATATTATTACTTATTATTTTTCCTCTAATTTGAATTGTCTGGACATACTTTTTGTTAATTTATCTGTTAGCTATTATATATGTTCTTTATGCAGTTTGCATGTTATATGTTTATAAAAACACTATTTGAAAATATCCTATTTGTAACATATTCTTTTCATTTCTGTCTTAGTTATATCATGTTTTATTGGCACATTTTAAAAATTAGGTTAATTTTAATTTACCAATTCTAATGTAACATTTCTAATAGTTTTATCTAGTCCTACAAAGGATTTCTTTTTCAAAACTGCATAATTCTGAGACCCCAGAAAAAGCCACTTTGTCACTTTTATAGTCCTGCAGAGATGATTGAGCTGGACTTTGTGTTTGTTTTATTCATAAAACATAAGAAAATTAGACTGGATGATTTTTTAAAAATATATTTTATTAATTTTTTACAGAGAGGAAGGGAGAGGGAGAAAGAGATAAAAAAATCAATGCTGAGAGAGAATCATTGATCGGCTGCCTCTTACATGCCCCACTCTGGGGATTGAGCCCACAACCCAGGCATGTGCCCTTGACCGGAATTGAACCCAGGACCATTCAGTCCGCAGGCCGACGCTCTCTCAAGTGAGCCAAGCCAACTAGGGCAATTCCATGATATTTTTAAAAAATCTGTGCATTATTTTATCTTTATCAAAATTGTATTAACCTTAGCCTTTCTTTCTATTACTTTTAAATAAAAATATAAAGTATCATATATAACATGAATGTTTTATAACATTTTAGGCCTTTGGAGTGTTTTACAGGTATTCTATTTCTGTAAGTCATGTTTTAGTGACAAAACTAATTAAAAACCATTTTTAATTTAAAACAGAACTATTGGATTCGATATGGAGGACGACAGGATGAGAATCGGTGAGTTCTCTATTCAGAACACCAACTGTTTAATTTTAAAATATTTTTCAAAGGTATAGAATTTCTTTTCCTTTTAAAAAAATTTTCAATTATGGTTGCCAGATGGGATGCGGTTTGGAGGAATGGGTGAAAGGGGGAAGGGATTAAGATGTATAAATTGCTAGTTATGAAAACAGTCACAGGGATGTAAAGTACAGCATAGGAATATAGTCAATAATATTGTAATAACTATTTATGGTATCAGATGGGTATTAGACTTATCTGGGAGGATAACATCATAAGTTATATAAATGTCTAATCACTATGTTGTACGCCTAAAACTAATATACTATTGTTTGTTAACTGTTTATTTTTAATTAAAAGAAATGCATAGAGTCAGACCTATTATAAGAAATTGAGTTCTATGAATAGGCAAAAAGATATAATGAAAAGAATTCCAAACTGGGAACTGGTCCCAGCTGTTCCTGTCACTTCTGTGTAACCTGGAGTAATTTATTTTCCTCTCTGGGTCTCATGTTTTTATTCAAATTAAGGAATTGAAACAGGTGATCTCTGAGGGTTAAACATTCTGTAATTCTATAGCAGAGCAAATTGGATTTTTAAAAATTTATTAGTATAATAAAGCTTGAAAGCTTTACTGCAAGCTAAAATACTAGGTGTTGCTAACTCAACTGGAAGATAACTCATTTTTTGAAATGATAGAAGTCAAAAGTCAATTTCCCTGTCATGAACAGTTTGAGGGATCATGGAATGTTGGTGTTACATGTCTGAGATCACATGGACAAGCCTATTCATTTTCAAATTTTAAAGCTGAGGGCCTGACAAGGCAAAGGACTCCTTTAGAGTCATACACCACCAGGGACAGCACATCCAGATCTTCTTATTCAAAATCTTGTGGTCTTTCCCTAGACTTCAAAGACTCAACCTCTGGCTACCCTGGAATTATTGCAAGAGATCCAAGAATGCATATGCACATTTGGTTGTGTTCAATATGTGTGGACATATTGAAAGACCATCATGCTATTATTTGTGTGTTTGCAAAGTTTGACACAAATTTGTGTCTTCCTTCTTGAAATAGTTTAGAACCACTACATTAGGAAGTGATTTATTTTAGTTCAATCATTGGTCAGTGATGAACACTCTATGTTCAAGACATATAATGTGACACTCTGAGCATTATATAGATGCATATGATAATTTTTTCCAGATTGGTTGTGATTCAGTCTTAAATTAAGGGGGCTAAGTTATGGGTACAATTAACTGTAGTAAAGATTGCTAAGAAGATTTAGAGAAGTGAAATAGAACACACTCATGAAGGAATAGAAATGAACTTCCAGTAGCTCAGTTGTTTGGAGTGTTGTCCAGATACACAGGGTGTGTTCGTTTGTTCTCTCTCTCTCTCTCTCTCTCTCTCTCTCTCTCTCTCTCTCTACAATCAATATATTTAAAAAAAGAACTGCATGAAGGTAGTGACATTTTATTTGCTCTTGAAAGATAGGTAGACTTCTGTACAATGAGCATATAAAATATGGAGTCATAGAGTACCTGGGTAAAGTATCTTTGCTTTTGAACATCTTTATTCAATGAGAAATTGCCATTTCCACTTTTAAATAAGCAGGGTCCCTTCAGGAGTGAACGTGGAAGGAGCAGAAGTTCATGGATTGTCATCAGGGAAAAAAACATCACCCAAGATAGACCGAGACCTAAGAGAGGGTAAGTATCTATGCACTTTTACTCTTAGAAGGAGGGTAGGGGGAGAATGGGACTTGACCAGTTGTTATTCAGATCAAGGCAAAACGTGCTTTCTCTGGAACATGAAGAAAAGGACTAAGCTACTACAATTCATGAAATTCTGAAAGCAAGGCTTAAAAACAAGAACATTTCAGATTTGTATATCATTACCTTTAGTTTCCAGCAAAAGGACTTCTGTTTCCTACAAGAATCTTGTGAGACAGGTAGGGGCTGTGTGATCATTGCCATTCTCAGTTCGGTACCTGAGGCTTTGAGAGGTCACATGGCTCACTTTTGTCATACAGTGTGTGAGTAGTGCTGGATAGTATAGAATAGACTGTGTATCAGAAGAACTTGAAGAGACAGCTTCATGGGATGTTAGATTAGTTCATCTAAGATGTTTGAGGCACATATATCTGAGATCAAGGCTATGTGAGAGAAGTAGAATTTAGGTTGAATTGACAGAGATGTCGAGAGAGCCATTCTAGTGGATAAAACAAATGGAACAAAGGCACAGAGAAGGAGAAAGCAGAGAATCATATGCTTACTTAATATCAACAATTTTTCAAGCAAATTCATGCGCAGAGCATTTTACTGTATTTATTTAAAAATTTTTATATGCGATATTATTTTGTATTAGTTTCAGGCGTACAGCATAGTGGTTAGACAATCACATGCCCTATAATACCCACAATTCCTTTTATTTATTTTTATTTATTTATTTTTATTTTTTAATGTAATTTATTGATTTTTTACAGAGAGGGAAGGAGAGGGATAGAGAGTTAGAAACATTGATGAGAGAGAAACATCGATCAGCTGCCTCCAGCACATCCCCTACTGGGGATGTGTCCACAACCAAGGTACATGCCCTTGACCGGAATTGAACCTGGGACCCTTCAGTCCGCAGGCCAACGCTCTATCCAGTGAGCCAAACCGGTTAGGGCCACAATTCCTTTTAATAATGGCAGCATCTCATGTGAGAAAAGTGTCCCTACTTCATAGACAAGAAAAACCAGACTCATAGACATTTAGTGATTTGTCCAAAGTCTCACAGCTCAGAATAGGTTGCAGGCATTTAAGCCCAGGCTTTTGAATCAAAACCCCATTCTCTCTTCTTCACCTGAGGATGGAACATAGAAGTGTCTAGATATCAAAAATAATCCAAGTTAAATAATTTTGCAGAAATTCTCATGGAGAGGAAGTACAGTACTACTTTCCCAGAAAGAAACTTGTCAGCACATTCTTCTAGCAGTCAGTGGTCGGCAAAGTCATTAGTCAACAGAGCCAAATATCAATAGTACAACGATCGAAATTTCTTTTGAGAGCCAAATTTTTTAAACTTAAACTATATAGGTAGGTACATTGTTATTAACTTAATTAGGGTACTCCTAAAGCTTAGGAAGAGCCACACTCAAGGGGCCAAAGAGCCACATGTGGCTCGTGAGCCGCAGTTTGCTGACCACGGTTCTAGCTGATTTGAAAACTACTGGCTCTCTACAGCTCATATTTCCCAGCCCTTTCCTTCCTTAGTTTCCAAGTCAGTTTGAGGTAGTAAACAGGATAATATGATCATCTAATCTGACCTGGACCTTAATTTGTAGCCACAAAGCCCAAGCTGTTTCATAAGTGCTTCATGGTCAGCCAGAGTTCATGCTGCTATTTAAGCCAAGAAGTTGCCCAGGAAGTACATGACAATAAGCCAGAACTTTGCTGTAAAGGTTTGGGAAACTCCAGAAGAGTTGCCAAATTTCAAAGCATTATTTTTCTGCCTACCCAGGAATCTGATGTCCAGCAACTGATGAGGAGGATTAATGGGAAGAGTTGAATAGAAGACAACACAGGATGGAGAAAGATCATGATTGGCTGGGTTACCAAATTCTATCATTTCTGCTTAATTTTCTTAGTTGAATTAGGCCAACGGACCTTACAATGTTCTCTGGGAATCCACTGAAAGCTTTCGGTGCAGTCACTAGAGACCTAAGTAGTGTCTAAATTAAGAACAGTGGTAGACAGGGGCAAAGTTCCCAACCAGAAAACACTTTCCTATCGTAGCCTGGCTGAAAGCAGGTGTCAGGCAGACAAGAAAGGATGCGTGCTTTACAGAGTAGAATGTGTTAGCTTTTCTCATTTTCCACAAAGACATTGTCATCTACTCTGGTTACCTAACAGTAGTTAGTCATATTCATATTGGACAGATCCCAAGTATTAAGATGGGAGTGGCCCAGGGTGACTCTAGTCCATGGAACATACATGTCAACTTCTAAAAAACATCTGTCACTTATCTATTCTCCTTTCAGGCATCAGTTTTCCAAAGGTCCTGCTTGATAATAATCTCAGAGCCAGTGGGGTATAGTAGGACTAACTTTGGACTTGGAATCAGGAGACCAAGTTTCCTGGATTGCCTCAGTCTTATGTGCTCTGAAGTGATGGATAACTAGAGACTCAATCTCCCAGGTCCCTATGCTCCCCATCTGTACAACAAGGATAGCCACTGTTGGAGAGGATGAATGTGAAGTTTTTGGTAAACTTTAAGGGGTTGTGCTCATATAAGGGCTTGTTAGTCAGCATATTCCTGTCATGCCTTTATGACATTGAGATATTTACGGCAAAATGATTCTTCTTGCTATGAGCCACAGACATTGAGCACGAAGGGTGTTTTCCTGGATGATCCCTGCTTATTGCAAATGGAGAGTTGAAGCCAGGCACATACTTTATGAATGAGAGAATTAAGTTGTTGAAATCCCTTTGGGCTGTGGTTAAGAGTTGGCTGAAGCTATCAAATCAGGCCCCAGGAACCACAACTTACTGGACTACTTTTTGATTTTATTTTAATGTTTTCCTCTGTCTGATGTGCTACTAGTCATTTGTAGGCTGGTCGGCTTGCATTTTTGAATGGCAGGATTTCTTTTTTTATTTTCTTTTTTTCCCTTTTGGTTAGTGAGTGGGTAGTTAGTTGTTTTTTGGTTAAATGTATGTGTGAGAAACCTCTGAATAAAACTGCATTGTGGTGACAGTGTCAGCTGCATATAAGGCAGTTTTCTAGTACAGATTCTGTCTGAACCTGTAGGGTTTACCAGTGATGGCGAACCTATGACACGCGTGTCAGAGGTCACACGCGAACTCATTTTTTTGGTTGATTTGTCTTTGTTAAATGGCATTTAAATATATAAAATAAATATCAAAAATATAAATCATTGTTTTACTATGGTTGCAAATACCAAAAAATTTCTATATGTGACATGGCACCAGAGTTAAGTTAGGGTTTTTCAAAATGCTGACACGCCGAGCTCAAAAGGTTCGCCATCACTGGACTTTAGGCATTTAAGACTCCATTTGCATTCTGCTTCTTCACTTGATCTATGTTGTTACTTATAGCATTGTTGGGGGAATTGTCAATATATCAGTAGCTTTCTTTTATCTATCTATTTATTAATCCTTACATGTTTTTATTGGTTTTTAGAGAGAGAAAAAGAAAGAGAAAAACATCTATGTGAGAGAGAAACATCTATCAGTTGCCTCCTCTATGAGTCCTGACCAGGAATCTAACCCACAACCTTTTGGTGCATGGGACGATGCACTGAGCAACTGAGCCACCCAGCCAGGACTCAGTAGCTCTCTTTTAAATATACTCCATTATGCTTATTAAGATGACTCAGTCAGAATTAATACAATATACTAGTCATATATTACTAATTCAGTAATAATCATCATAGTAATAGTAAATACTTATATGGAGCTTAAGAATAGTAGGCATTTTTCTAAGTGTTTTATTTAGTTTTAGTAACTTTTAAAGTTATACTTTTAAAATAAGTCAAATTATGTTTAAAGTAATACACTCTCAATATAGAAAAAAAGATAAACATGGCAAAGTACAAACCAACCTAATTCACTCAACTCTTGGTCTGTCTTCCATTCCTAATTAGAAAATGTTTTTAGTGAGTATCTTGTCTTTCTTGTTGCAAGAAAATGTTTTTATATTTCTAAATGGGAGTGGAATATGCAGTTGACTTTTCCAAATATTTGAGAGATAGCCTCAATTTGGCTATGAATCTCACTCAACTATATAGATTAGAGTAACCTTCCCCAAGCAAACTGTGTTTTATTTTAAGAAGTTCCATGATGGGAGACAAAGTCTACTGTTGTTGATTTTTATTGCTATGAAAAATATTAGCTCAAATATAGCAGCTTCCAATAACATACATTTACTATTTCTCAGTTTCTTGGGGTCAGGAGTCTGGGGATAACTTAGCTAGGGTCTATTGCTTGAAGGCCTTTTTAAGCTGGCATCTTTTCTAAGGCTTGACTGAGGAACTATTTTCTCCCAAGTTCAGATGACAGAATTTGGAACTTAAAAGTTTATTTGACTGTGGTTCTCAGTTCCTAGTTGTTGTATTTTTTTGGTTGTTTGTTTGTTTTGTTTTGTTTAAATATATTTTTATTGATTTCAGAGAGGAAGGGAGAGGGAGATAGAAACACCAATGATAAGAAAGAATCATTGATTGGCTGTCTCCTGCACGTGGGGATTGAGCCCACAACCCGGGCATATGCCCTTGACCAAAATCGAACGTGGGACCCTTCAGTCTGCAGGCCAACGCTCTATCCACTCAGCCAAACCAGCTAGGGCCCTAGTTGATTTTTGGCTAGAGGAACCCATCAATTTTTTGCCATATGAGCCTGTCCAATACAGTCACTTGCTGCATCAGATTGCAAGCTGAGAAGGTAATAGACTGAGTCAGCTAGCAAGATAGAAGTTGTAATCTTATGTAATGCAATCACAGAAATGACATCCCATCACTTTTTCCATATTCTATTGGTTACAAGAAAGATCCAAGCCCTGCCCACACTTGAGAGAAACAAATTACACAGGCCTATGAACACCAGGAGGCAGTGATCATTAGGGTTCATCTTGGAGTCTCTCTGCCATAAGAAGGAAGGAAGGAAGGAAGGAAGGAAGGAAGGAAGGAAGGAAGGAAGGAAGGAAGGAAGGAAGGAAGGAAGGGAGGAAGGGAGGATATTGTGCCTAATTAAGGGTGAGCACTACTACATATTGTATTAATACTTAGGATATTCATAATGCATGCTCTAAAAAGTCCTCTTAAATTTGGTTTAGCTCAGTACTTCCCAAACACATTTGATCAAGAAACTACTTTTCATGCTCGCTTCGGCAACACATATATTGTATAAGTACCGCGCGCTAACCGATTGCGCCACTGGAGCTCCTAGGCAACACATATATTAAAATTGAAATGATAGAGAGATTAGTGTGGCCCCTGCACAAGGATGACAAGCAGATTTGTGAAGCATTTCATATTAAAAGCAAACAAACAAAAAAAAGAAACTATTTTTTCATCAAAAGCTTTTCTGTAGAAAAAAGTTTGAGAAACATTGAACCATAGAAAAAAATATATTTTTATTTTTTTCTATTCACCCAAAAGATTTGTACTGAAACTGAGAGCTTGTGCATATATTCCTGAAATCCAAGAAATTCTATAATATAAAGTTTGATGACAATTTAAAAATATTAAGAGGGACAACTAGTGGGACATCTGAATAACCACCTTATAGCCAAGTACTCCCATGAGATTTCACACCTCCATGGTATGGGTGCAGTTACCATCACATTGGCAGCAGTTAATAATATTCAATGATTGAAAACTAACAAGAAATAAAATAGTAAAAATTTATAAATAATGTATGAGGACCAGTTGAAGACCAACATTTATCATGTTTAGGTGGTGAAATGATAAAATCTAGATCTGACAAGATCTTTTCCTCACAGAAAATAGGATTAAAGGACAAAACCTCTGACGGTGAGGAAATCTTCAAATGTAACCGTGTGTAACCATCTGGATTCGAACCAGAAAAGTGAACAGAAAAGAAAAACACTGTTTTTCTATCATTTCATTAATATAGCTCATTTTAATATATTTGGTTTATGGTTTTGCTTTTACTTAATCTTGTAAATTGGTTTTCTGTATTATGAAACCATGAAAATAAATACTGTTTTCATCATTTTATAATTGCAAATATGGAAATGAAATTATAGTATAAATAATTTGTCAGCACCATATTACTTAGGGAACTTTTTGTTTTAGCAGATAACCATATATTACTCAAGATTAAGACATACTACCTCATTATTTTAAAGTAAAGTCTTGATTTGTTTTGGGTTTAGTTGGGTTCCTAAGTGTCAATCCAGGATCTTCTGTGAATGGCAGACAATTCCTTTAATTGTAGGCTATAGTGATTCTTTTATCCTAACTAGATTAATAAACACTTATTGCTGCTCCCTAATTTGACTAATCTATTTTAAAGTGATATAGTGAACATCAATTGTCTCTTCTCCCTTCAACTGACATGTTTTAGACCTGCATGTTCAAGACCATTGCTTGATCACCTTGGTAGGAAAGGAGGAGTTGTGCCCTCCCCACCACTCCCTCTGGGGCGAGTTATTGTTATTGACAGGTACATGTCAGGTCCCTTAGGAGTACTGTAAAGACTAGAAAAACAGTGTTTTTCTTTTCTGTTCACTTTTCTGGTTCGAATCCAGATGGTTACACACGGTTACATTTGAAGATTTCTTCACCGTCAGAGGTTTTGTCCTTTAATCCTATTTTCTGTGAGGAAAAGATCTTGTCAGATCTAGATTTTATCATTTCACCACCTAAACATGGCCCAAATGCGTCATTCTCTGAAGAGCCTGCGTGGGGCTAATTTCATAAAGTTGTGGACCCTATCCAGGGAGAGAGAGGTGCCTGCAGGAAACCATCCGATGCAAAGGCAGTGATATAATGATATGTCCATAGAGCAGAGTACAATAAATATTCCAAAAGCAAGACCATATAGAGCAGCGGTTCTCAACCTGTGGGTCGCAACCCCTTTGGGGTCGAACAACCCTTTCACAGGGGTCGCCTAAGACCATCGGAAAACACATATATAATTACATATTGTTTTTGTGATTAATCACTGTGCTTTAATTATGTTCAATTTGTAACAATGAAATTGGGGGTCACAACATGAGGAACTGCATTAAAGGGTCGTGGCATTAGGAAGGTTGAGAACCACTGATATAGAGTCAGGTAGTGGTGGAAAGAAGACTTGGAAGGAGTCGGGTGACTTGGGTGTGACTGTACTTACTGGTGGTGCATTTACTACCTGGATTTCCTGGTGAAGGCATTGCTCTACATACCCATGAAACTGATGTTTATGTCACGCCGAGGGACGAGGCATGTCATGGAGTAATTGCATATGATGTTATAACAATGGTAGGAACCAAAGGCTGTGGAGCAGGGTGGGTCCAGTTGTGGAGAGAATCCTGGAAAGTCTTCCTAGAGGAGAATCCTGTGAGATGCCCAGTCTGCTTTGCTGGATTGTCACTGGAAACAAATAAAAAGATATTTTATCAAATACAAGATACTATGCAAATATAATATATCATCATGACATTTTGGAAAAGCCTGGTAGTCACACAGCTGCCCTTTTCTTGAATCCACATTGTGTTTATCAGATTCCGAATTTGTCATTTGTCATAGCAGTCCTGAATATTCATGAGGATACTGGCTCTCCTCAACTGCGCATTGCTAGCTGGTGGGTGTTCTGTGCTTCCCCTTGGTGACAGAGGTAACAGAGAAGACAATGTGCTCTGTCCCTTCAGGTGGCCCTCTGATCTACGAGAACATCACCTTCGTCTACAACTCAGAGCAGCTGAACGGGACTCAGCGGGTTCTCCTGGATAACGTCCTGTCGGAAGATCAGTGCCGGGAGCTGCACAGCGTGGCCAGTGTGAGGACCCCTGGGAGGGCGGGGCCTGACTATGCTGGCCTGCTGCGAGCCTGCAAGTGCTTTGGTTCTGGTCTCACTTGGAGCCAGAGAACCAGGCCTGCCATGTCACTTTCTCTGGGAGAGGGACATTGATTGTAGAGGCACTTTCATAGCCTTTGGATTGAGATGACGTTAGTTTTGTCCAGATCTGAATATGGCTAGTGGATCTGGAATAGTTAGCAGCTAAATTCCCAGGACAGACATCATCCAGCATGGGCCCTGTCTACCATATAAAGTCACCGAGAAATCCCTTTATTTTAATCAATAATAACCAACATTTAATCATTTCTAGTCTCCATATCTCTACAAAAAGTGGTGTTTTATAATAAAAATTGAGTGTAAAAGTAAAATAAATACTAGCATATCCCTTTTGCTTGGAAAAATGAATGATACCAGGATCCTGGAACAAAATGGGGATGACTTTGGTTCTTAGCTTCCTGGAAATCAAGGGAGAAAGGAAGACCTGATGCATTCAGAGTTATCATTAAGAAAACATCTTCTTGTATTGTACTTCTAGGGAATCATGATTGTTGGTGATGGATACAGAGGAAAAACTTCACCTCATACACCCAATGAAAAGTTTGAAGGCGCAACTGTCCTGAAAGCACTCAAAGTAAAGTCTTAACTTGTTTGGGGTGTGGGCAGTGTTAATCCAGGACGTTCTGTGAATGGCAGACACAGGAAAGAAAAGAGCTTAGAATACAGTTTTATCAGGACATTTGAAGGGAGCAAGTATGAAATGGCACCTGCATCGCATTAAATCCTTCTTCATTTATCTATTTATCATCTATTTGTCAAACTTGATCTTTTCTAAATTTGTATCTGACTAACAACATACAGCTCCCATCCCCCCTTGCCACCCCTTTCTCAAGGAGCTCATGGTCTAATGATGAAAACATATCCAAACAAGTAATCGTTCCATATTTCAAGAAATGTTGTTAGAGAGGAATAAGGAGAGTGTTATGAGAGAAAAGAGAGTGATTAGCTCTTCATGTTCTCTCTGTGATTAGGAAGGCTCATTTCAATGGTTCATTTTCCTAACCCAAATCCACAAGCATGTAGTAGTAGTCCCACTAACCAATGCAGAGATGACCATTGTACCTTGGCTGACTGAAACCCAGCATCTGTTTTTCTCCAGCTCTCCAATCAACCCCATGGTATCTAATGTTCTCCTTTTTCCTCAGTTTGGTTATGAAGGCCGAGTCCCACTGAAGAGCGCACGCCTGTTTTATGACATCAGCGAGAAGGCTCGAAAGATTGTAGAATCCTATTTCATGCTGAACTCAACCCTGTATTTTTCCTATACGCACATGGTCTGCCGAACAGCCCTGTCTGGTGAGATTTCAGAGTCTGGACTTGTTCCTTCTACCCACAGAGAGCTGAGAAAGAAAGCAATGCTCAAAAAAAATCCATTACAAATGGTTTAGAAGAGTTCTAAATTTCCAAAAACAAAAGAAACTTGATAGCTCTTATTTTCCCTTCCCTCTTTTTCTCCTTTTTTATCCCCTAAAGTACCAGCAGACCATAACTGTACCTTTTCCCCCATTTAAATCAACTTCTCCTACTTTCTTGTTGCACAGAAAAATGCGTTTCTGTTCTAGGTTTTACTTTTCAGGGAACTAGGAACCTGGAAATTAGTCTCCTATTACATCCATAAGCATTGAGTGATAGTGTGGAAGATGAAGGGATTGTTGAAATAAATATTCTTAAAAAGTCAGATAACCCCTCACAACCTGCTGTCATTATTTCTTCTCTAGACTTTCCCTTCCACCCCTCCAGAGTAGGAGGGAATGGATAATGTCACAGGGAAGACTTTTACACTTGGGTCAGTTCAATTGAATCAAATCTTTTTTTTTTTTTTTACATTTTTATTTCATCCTCCTCCTATTACTGCTCCCCATGAAGTACAACCTGTGAAATGCATGGAATGTCTATTTATAGCAGATAGCTTCTATAGCTGTAGCAGCAGGTGTGACTTGCTCACAGTTTTACATCAGGTTCATATCAAAGCAGGGCCAAAGTAGAGTCTCTTGACTGCTCGCCCAGTGTTCCTTCATCTGTTGTGTTCGGCTTTCTGTATCTTCAGATTTACAAGGGCACCAGCAATGGGAGAAGGCAGTCTGAGGGTCACTTTTGCTGTAGGAGGTTAACACCCTCCTTTCATTCTTCCCTGTTCCCTCTCCTGGCAGGTCAACAGGATAGAAGAAATGACCTCAGTCATCCCATCCATGCTGACAACTGCTTGTTGGATCCAGAGGCCAATGAATGTTGGAAGGAGCCTCCTGCTTACACATTCCGGGATTATAGGTAGAGCCAGCACCTGCTGCAAAGCCAAGCTTTTGTCCAACAGTTATCAAAAACCCATGGAAACTAGAAAGCTGATCTTTTTTGCTTGTCATCACATTCAACGCTAGGAAGCAGAGAGTCTCAAATAATCTTTTGAAGCAGCTGTCACAATTGAGAAGTGACTTCATCTCATATTTTAATCTTAAAAATGCATGCATGTTTTTCATACCCTATTCCACAAAATGTCCATTTTGTTTTAATATAAAAATAAAGATATATATATATATATATATATATATATATATATATATATATATATAAAATCCCTTAGCATTCACTGAAACATATCCTTTATGCAGAGGGATCTTATCATATCACTTATCTATATCTGCATTTTATCAATAAGAAACTGGACACTCAAGAGGGAAAAATGTTATCTCTTATTGAAAGATATTTTCGTGTGTAAAGAGAAGAGTCAGCCCTGACTGGTTTGGCTCAGTGGATGGAGCATCGGCCTGTGGACTGAAGGGTCTCGGGTTCGATTCCGGCCAAGGGCATGTACCTTGGTTGCGGGCACATCCCCAGTCGGGGGTTGCAGGAGGCAGCTAATCGATGTTTCTCTCTCATCAATGTTTCTAACTCTATCCCTCTCTCTTCCTCTCTGTGAAAAATCAATAAAATATATTTAAAAAAAAAAGAGAAGAGTCAGGATTTGTAGTCACCATATAGGTAATAGTGTGTTAATTATTATTACTCTGTGCTCTATACAGAAACATTTATTGAGCGCCCTCTATCTGCAAGGCTAAGCTACACCTCTTGGAGCTCTCCAGCTAGTTAGGGAAAAAATACATTCTGTAGAGTTACTAGTATGACAGCAAAGAAGAGAGTTGTAAGTAGTATGGGCAGGTTCAAAGGGCTAGATTAAATCCAGTTAGGTTTTCTTTGAAGGAAGTGAAATGTGAGATGAGCTTTAAACTATAATTAAAAATTAACGTAAGTGGAATAAATACTTCAAGGGTATGATCCAAACTACATTTGATTTTACTCTTGAGGTTAGGAGGGTCAATTATTTCAATGTCTAGTTCAAAGGAAACTTACTAATCAGAATGGTCAATTCATCAGTATTCTGTGGTAATAATGTTGTAAGCATTAACAGTACAAATGATTCCCCTTTCTTCGTATAGTGCTCTGCTATACATGAATGACGACTTTGAAGGAGGAGAATTCATATTCACTGAAATGGATGCCAAGACTGTGACTGTAAGTAAACTTACTCTTTATTTTTTTTGTTGTTTAAATATTACAGATGTCTCCCATTTTTCTGCCTTCTCCCCCTCCACCCAACCCCTGCCCCTCCCCAAACCTTCCCCATGCTATTATCTGTGTCCATGGTAAGTAAACCTATTCTCTAGCATATTTATTCAGTATTTTTATGTAAGTTTTGCCATTTTCCAAGGACTCAGACAGTTGGGTTTCAAATATATCTGAGATCAAGAATTCAAGAAGTGCAAAAAATCCCAATCGATTTATGCATCATAAAATGTTAGAAATGTAACCTTCAAAATAGAAATCTTCCCGTCCATTTTAAAGATGGGTAAATTAAAGAATAGAAATATTAAGGATTTCCTGATCCTCATATAAGTTAAGTTAGACTTGGAAGCAGAACCTCAGTCTTCCGATTATAATCTGGTGGAAGCATAAATATACTAATTCCCAAGTCACCCAAGCTTAGGACAAGTCAAATGATTCCACAGAGTGGCTTTCAAGTAACCTGGTGTTGTACATACTTGGATTGATTATTGGCCATCAGACCCAAGTTATCAGAGCTATTATGTATGTGCACATTTATGTGTGTGTATGTATGTATATTGGTGTGAATGTGTGAGTGCGCATGTATGATTGTGATTGCAAATAAACCTGTACCTGAACATTGATATATACATTCACATATGCACACATTTGTGTGTGTGGTCACATGACATGTTTTGGATGAGATTCCAAACATACCTTCATAGGTGAAAATCAAAAGTTAAATTTAACCACCATCTTTCTAAGCCAACTGATGCCTTTGGAAAAGCAGACTGCAGAGCACTTACAGACCACATGGGCAGCATGCTCTGGTCTTTCAGCAAAGAGGATACTTATGTAGAAAAGCAGGTTTTTCAATTGAGGAGATAATCTCTATATATAAAAGCCTAATATGCAAATTGTCTCCATGGGAGTTAGACTGGGAGACCAATCGCTTGCTATAACATGCGTTGACCACCAGCAGGCAGCACGGAATGAAGGGAGGCCCCGGCCGGCAGCTGGCAGCCAGGGAAGGGAGGTCCTGGCTGGCAATTGGAAGGCCCCAGTCGGCCCTGATCGCCGGCCAGACATAGGGACCCTACCCATACACAAATTTCGTGCACTGGGCCGCTAGTTGAATTATAACTAGATCATGAGAGATCTCTTTTATCTATACAAAATATAAATAGTTGAGGCATGCATGTGAAAAACTTCAAGGATTTTGCATTATATACTCTATTTCCGCAACATTTTCTTAGTTTTATGGTTTTCTCCCCAAATTTTACATATTTTTCTTAGTGAAACAGCCATGCATTGGCCAATGTGACTCATTAGGTTGAGTGTCATCTCAAGCACCACTTAAAACTTGCTGGTTGATTCCTAGTCAGGGCATATGCCCAGGTTGAGGGTACAGTCACTTGTCAGGGTGTGTGCGGGAGGCAACCACTTGATGTTTCTCTCTCACATCAATGTTCCTCTCTCTCTCTTTCTCTCTTTCTCTCTCTCTAAAATCAATAACAACATATTTTTTAAAAATAGTGAAACAGTCATTTATCATTAATGACATACTGCTAGACTATAAGCAGATGGTATTCAAAAACTGTATGTTACTGTAAAAGAGGAAATATAAGGATCTGGTTAAAATTGTCCAGGAACATTGTTATTATTAAGAAATAATATTTAATACAATTTAATATAATAATGTATATTTAAAAGGCTATGGTGCCTACACTTTTTGGTAAAAAGGCTAAATACTAACATGGGAGTAGTGTGATGCTTCATTATCTGGGAAATTAAATCAAGATGGGTGGTCTGGGTTGGGTTTTAAAGTCACTATACAAAATTCTCATATTTTGAAGAGCCTCTGTGCAGAAGGATTTGTTTGTTGAGCTCTGCTAACACTGAAACTGAGGTTGAAAAATGCATCTTGCCCAGGTGGAAAGAAAATCAGACTGGTGGTTGAAAAGATTTCTTTGCTTCTACTCCGCCTTGTGGCCAGATTTGGAAATGCTCAGTGTTTGAGAGTGATGCCTGGAATAGTGTCTGAAACAGTAATTCATTCATTGTCGAATTTTTTTTTTTTTTTGTATTCAGGGCTTTTATTTTATTTTTTATTTTATATATACTTTTAATTTTAATTTAATTTATTGGGATGACATTGGTTAATAAAATTATATAGGTTTCAGGTATACAATACATCCTCTGTATATTGTATTGTGTGTTCATCACCCAAAGTTAAATCTCCTTCCATCACCATTTATCCCTCCTTTACCCTCTTCTACCTCCATACATCCCCTTTTCCTTCTAGTAATCACCATACTGTTGTCTGAGCCTATGGGGGAGGGTGCTGGTTTTTTTTTTTTAATCCCTTTACCTTTTATACCCAATCCTCCAACTTTCTTCCCTCTGACAGCTGTCAGTCTGTTCTTTGTATCTATGAGTCTGTTTTGTTTGTTAATTCATTTTGTTAAGTGAATTTATCATTATCCTGTTTTTTAATTATTTGAAAGTAGATAATACTCCACTTTAATGGTTCTATCCCTTTAATATAAGAACTTAGCTATTTTTAAAATCACTGACTATAACCACTTTCCCCTCAAAAGTAAAAGAAAAACCTGATTTAAACAACGTTTTTATTCAAAATCTCCAAGTTGGGAGATTTATTTCCCAAATTATTTCTACTTCAGATGAATTTATATGGTAGAGTTCTTATTTTGTAGGTAATCAAAATTCCTAGGTAACTGGTCCCAATAACAAAGAGAAATGGGTAGTTTTCCTTTTCAGCTTCCCCTTCTTTGCCCCTGGAGGGACAGACGAAGTAGGCAAATAACCCAGTTTGGGAATACAACAAGGGGGTAATGTCTTTATTTTTGAAAAATTTGGAAGTAATATAATTAACTGAATGATGGCTGAAGGTTTACATTTACTCCAGTCAAAGGCTTCTCTGACATTTCATCAGCCGTTAGATGAAAAGCAAAAGACACTTGCTTTTATTATACTTGGAAGATACATGGATTATTTCAAGAGCAGCATTTATCTGTGAAACATGGGTATTTAGGGATTTGGGTTTCTCTGTGCAAGTTTCCAAAAGATAAAATTTAATGAGTTCCATTTGCTTCATGAAAAATTAAAATCACTCTGGAGCTGTGTTCCATAGTATGTTTACAATCACTTATCTGTGCTTCAGAATGTATATTCCTACAGAAGCAGAGTCATCAATCGGGCTTGTCCATTCCTCCAAGTACCTGATATGTAACAGGTGAGGCTGTCTGTATGGTAACATTAGTCCCAGAGACTTTGTGAGTCCACACACCTGTGGTCAATTCCAACTGCTTCAGGCAGTCGATAGCTTCTTTTCCTAAACCAGTGGTTCTCAACCTTGGCTGCACATTAGAATCACCTGGGAATCTTTTTAAAATCCTGATTTCTGGGCCTCATCATCCGGAAATTCTGTTTCTTTGTTATGGGGTGGGGCCAC